TTTTGCTGATTTTGAATGATCCGTTAGATGATAATACCGATGACCATCGAGAACACACGGATGATAATACCGGAAGAGAAATCATTATGATTGTTCAATAACAGTTATAATGTTGAATAACCAATGAATCGTTTCGAACAGATTTCAGTCGACTCATTTCGTTTTTGCCTCATCAGTGCTTGAATGCAGATCGAACGACGAAATTTTGATTTAATTTCACGATGACAAATTTTGTTTCGAATGAATTCATAGGCAATAAACGAGTTGGCTTCGCCTAATATCATTAGAAAATTGAATCAGCATTGCGCGCTGAACTCGAAAGTCTTGATACATTACGCGCGCCGATACTCGCAGTATACTTAATCAACTTCGTATCATCAATTTCTCGTTCCCCAAATTTTCGTTTTGATTCGGAACGAATGAATAATTGATTTCAAATGACTCAGATCGTTCGTTGCAGTTCATAAAGGATGCACCTGACAGTTTTAAAGCATCCATTAGTGCGATTCAGCGACGTGCATGGTGGATATTTAGAAGGTGCCACACTTACATTCAACGTCGAGTATGAACCCGGATTAAAGGTGACGTCTCAGGATTGGGTGGCAATTATACCAGCAGGAAGCAATGATTTGCGACAGTTTGTCACTTTCCAGGTGAACGATTCGATTAGGCGCAATTTTCTGATCCCAATATGCATCTACACATGCCAGGGTGGTGCAAATCTGATATTTTTCTCATCTTTCAGATTCACCTGATTCGTGTTACTGATATAAACCAGCAACATTTCGCTCAAAATCATACCCAAAAATATTGCATTCGAAGCTTGCATTCAGCACTTGAACTTTATACCATGGAAATAATTGAACATTCCTTGTTGTTGATAGATTTTTCTCCTCAATTCCTGATGCACCGAGCAGAAAGGATCGCTTCATCTCACTTAAAAGATGCATAAAAGTTCACAGCGACTGAACCGCATTCTGAACTGTGCGAGATGCTCCAATTTTTGCCACCGAACGTTCCTCCAGATTTCTCGATTCTGCTGTGAATTTCGGTGCACAATGCAAAACTGATTCACGTTTGTTGAAGAAATAATCCCTCCTGAATTTCTGCTAAAAAAGCAGACATCTGCAGCTTAGGGTTTGCAAAACCCCAACGATTTTTCAATCCTGGGATCGATTTTTGATCCCGGGATCGAACAATTATTGAAATATCGGTGCGGAACATGCTTAAACACATTTTTTTGAACCAATATGTTCATTATTAATCAGAAACGAGCTAATTCAACAAACTATTGAACAAATCCAATAAACTAAGTATTCAAATTCAAATTAATATTTCATATAATGATGCCAATGATCACGCCGCAAGGGCATACTGCACATTCTACGCTAAGGCATCTTGTCATCTCG